GATCCATGTTGATGTCCAGTTCAGGTCTCAAAAACCGGCCCCCTGGCCTCAAAGCAACGTGTACTTTTTTAAATACCTTCCAAACACGCATAGTGCACGCAAACATGCACGACTAATCAACTTGTGACTCTTTGTGTCTTTTTTCCAGTTGTTGGGCAAGCGTGGTAGATGTGAAGTATAATGTGCCGAAATAGCGAAGCAATTTTTTTAACATGGCAAAGCTGCACAAAAAGAACTGCCACTCTTCACGCCGGCCAGGATCGGCAAGTCCGTCGGCGGAATCCGAGTGGCTCGACCGAAATGTCGCTGAGACCCTGTGCGAGTTCACGTCATTTGTTTGTGACTTTGGTGACGTCTCAGATGTCTCAGGGTGGTCTTTGTGGGCGGCCTGCCCAAGGATTGCACGGAGGACATTTGGGGAGCTCCGGGGAAGTGGAGAGGATGGCAGTGGAGCGCTTGACAGGACGCCATTGCCATGCATTTCTCACAGTTCGGAACCGCTCATTCCTGAGAGCAGAAGACAGGAAAGCGGCAGTTGTGGAAACCCCAGATGTCCAGTGCCTTGAATGTAGAGGTCCAGAAGGTTGACATGAAGTACGATCCAGCCACCAATGGGTTGTTGCCTTGGAGAGCAGCCAAGGGGAGGTGTTTTCATTGTTTGCATCATTCTAGTCTTCCGCCTCGCCCTTTTCTAGGTTCCGCGGCTTTTGCTTCGTTACTCTTGGATCAGTTGCGGAAGCCCAGGTGCACCGCAGCGATAGCGATAGCACATGCACTTCATACCTCTTTGGAACGTTCATGTTTGTGTTTTCTGGGTAGATGCTGACACTGCAGCTCAGCAAAAAGATGCCATTTGCACAGTCTACTTCCCTTGATGGGTGCTTTCAATGTTCTCTTTGTTGACTCACAGGCTGTTTTCGCCAACTACGACAACAACATGTTCAATGGCAGCTTGGTTTTGGAAGCTTTCAAGATAGGCCGTCCTGACGGGAAGCGCCAGTCAGGCAGATGGATAGACTGCAAGCCTGCAGCACTGGGAAAGATGGCGTCAAGTTCTCAGAGTTGTTGGCATGCACAGAATAGACAGGTCTGAATCGAACTTCAAGACATGTGAGCTCAGTATGTTGCACTGACTCAGCATCAGTATGTTCAGCTCACCTCTGCAATGGAATGATTTCCCTTGCTTCATCCGGAACGAACTCCCCAGGCAGATGTCCGGGCCCGGGTCCAAGGAGGTGATTGGTTTGGGTGCGGCTTTTTCGGATTCCGCGCACTCTTCAGGGATCCGGCGTCCGTGCAACCGATGATCCCAACCGAGAGGGTGTGGCTCCCTGGGGGATGGCAGTGGAAAGGAACATCGTTCAGAGCGATGGGCGAAGCACGCTTTCTTCCTGCAAGGCGGGTCCAACTCCCACGGGGACCACGTTCGCTTCCCAGATTGACGGGCAAAACAGTTGAAAGAAACTTGAGACGTATCGAGCTGGCAGTCGACCTGGCAATTCTGCCAATCCACCAACTCAGGCTTCGTGCTCGAGGTTTGCCCTTCTCCGCCACCAAAGAGCAGGCACGAAGAAACATCTACTAATCCCAATCATTTTTACAAAGGCTTGTTGAGGGGCCTTTCCTGCTGCAGGTGGAGGAGTTCTTTGCAGGCTATGGCATGCCAAGAGCCTAGGGCACAAACAAAAGTGTTGACACAATCATGATCCTTGGCTCCAAGGACTGGCAGATTTCACCACAAGGTTGACATGATGGGCCGCCCATCGGGTGAAGCATTTGTGGAGTTTGTTAGCAACGATGAGGCCCCCTCCCTCTCCAACAATGAGCTTCATTTGGCACTTGCGTCTCTTCACCTTGATCATGTTTCCACAGGCCGTTAGAGCATTTAACGACAGAAACTTCCAAATGATGGGCACTAGATATATCGAGTCGATGGCTCAGATCGCTAAATGAACAGCCAGAAGTTATGCTGTGCCGTTTCGACTCCGCATTTTTCTTCATTTTCGGTCTCTGGCTGACACAAGCACTCTCTGAGGCTCATGGGTGCTAGTGACAAGGACGTTCAAATGTGCCCCATGTTCTGGGGAGAGCTTTTTCAGATAAGCGCTTAAAATCAGTTGCAAGTCGGCCAGGTACCTTGATAACAACGGCAAAGGAGCTCAAAGTAGCTATGGTCCCATGAAAGGAGGCATGTGTGTGTGTGTGTGTCACACCCTGGTTCTAAGGGTTTTCCACCTTTTCACCTTTCCACTACCACCGAGATCGTTCTTTTTCCATTGATGTGAATTCATCACAGGCAGGGGGCGACAGGGTCACTGCATAGCTGTCGCCAACGAAGCTCTATGCAGATGACCAGGATGCAGGGACTGATCATCCCTGTGTACCTGCAACTGAAACCTTTGACCACGCTGTCTAATCTGCCTGGTTTGTTTTCATGGTGTTTCATGTCTTTCTTCCCCTAAACAGGTTTCTCACCGCAACTTTCAGCAACTTGTGCATTGCATTTTCGCCGCGCGAGTGAAACACTTGTTAAACAATACAAGTCACCGGGCCCTTTCGCCTTGCTGTTCCATCACCTTCCTTCCCATCGTGGCAATTGAGTCTAACTGAAAACCCAAGTTCGAAGTGTGTCACCCTTGGAGTCATAGGGATGCTTTTGCATTTGTTTTGTTTTACAGCAGGGGGACCATCCATGTACTGTGTGCGATGGTCCAACGAAGCGGCCACAGTACATGCGGACATCTGGCCTGATCAGCCAGACGTACCTGCCGAGAGAGAAACCTACGTAGAGCACAAGCTGTCTACTTCGTTGTTTCCTTCAGTAAAGGGCCACTGCAGCGTTGATTTTCCCTGAGTGCTTGGACCTTGGGAGCTCCACTGACCTCCTCGAACCGTCGTCACCCTGTCGTCCGCTCGCTCGTTGATTACCTTTGAGACCTCCGCTGGATGGACCTCCTCTTCTTCTTTAGATTTCCCTACCTGTACTCTTAGGAAATGGAACCCTAGGCCGGCGTGTGGCACCGCTATCAAGTCCGTATGCATATCCATGAGTGTGCCACACCCTGTTTCCAAGGGTTTTCAAATCTTTTTCCACTTTTCACGAAAGCAGGGGGGCAAGGCCTCCAGCGATGAACCTTGTCCAACGAAGCTAAGTCGCTGGAGGGGAAGCACTGAGAGACGTCTCGGTGTGTACCTGCTGAGTTGTCCACAAGCTGTGACTCTATTTTTTCCACGGTTTGATTTATGGTGGCTTCGCATGATACCCTCCCCACAAACAGGTTTCCCACCGCAGCTTTCAACCGCTTGTTGCTTTGCCGCCGCAGACTTCAGCCGCTGTGAAACAACTGTTCAACTTTCAATTACTTGGACTTACGCAACCTTTCTGTTCCCTCACCTTCCTTCCCATCGTGGCAACTGAGTCTAACTGAAAACCAATGTCAGAGTGTGGTGCTTTTGATTAACAGCTATATAGGTAACGTAGGTAACTAGTGGCTGATGACCGATCGAGAATGCTCCGTTTCCCATGCAGGCAAGGGCTTCAAGGGGCCATCACCATACGACATGATGCAACCTGGCAGCCTAGTGACGTCACACAGCGTTGACGTAACCGACTGTTAAGAAACCCGCCTGCATTTCTGACAAAAAATCATGTTTTTGAGCCAGCATTTCTGCCGGTTAATGTTTGTATGATTTTGTATGTGTAGACAGGGCAGTGTGGAATGCAAGCACCGAATGCCGAATGCAACGTTTATGCAACCCTTCTGTGACCTAGCACAGGGGTACACAGATCCTGTCCATGTTTTCATGAACCACTCAGGTCAGCTTTCTTCGGCTACTAATCCGTATGGTTTAGTTAGGCGGGACCTTGCACTTGGCTTATGCCTTCCAAAAAGCTGTGCCTTCGATCAGGTGAATCTGGAAGTATCACCAAAGAGGGAGAGTTTTGACATATGCCGGCGGACTCAAGCAAGCAGCCGTGGCAATCAAAGAGTTCCCAAACAATATCAAAGAATCAGCCTTTTTGCAAGCACATTTTTCATGCCCCATGTCATCGGATGTTCTTCAGACCGGGGGATGCTATTTTACAATATATATTTATATAGACATGTTTGCTTAAATCTAGTAGGGCATCACCAGATGCATGAGCTGTGCCGCGGCTGTACATTACAGCGTGGCTGTGTGTGTAGAAGGCTGAAATACCATACAGCCTCGCAGGTCGCAAGTTGAAGCCAACACACACAACACTAGACCCAACTTTAATGTTGAAGAGATAAAGACACGATGGCTGCGAAAGAAGGCCTTCGCAAGTTCGACACGCCTGCTGCCCGGTGCTGGAAGTTCGGGCGCGGCGTCTTGCAGCTAACGGTGCTTTGTGTCTGAGCAAAGAAACTAGTTAGCCGCAGCAGCACCTCCGAACACGAACACATTTTGTCAGCAACATCCGAGCGGGGCTTGCTGAAAACTGAATGCTTGATTTGCAGGAAAGAAGCGTCAGTATAGGGCCTGAAGTGGATTCTACAAAGGGGAGTTCTACGATCGATTAGGTTAGAGCAACAGGGGTTTAGAAGATAGGACTGCTGGCCAAGTGGCCACAAGGTCTCATGGACGCAAGAATTGCAGACAATGAGTAGAAGGGCCTCAAATGACACCTGAAAGATTTTACTCCAACTGACTGGGCCATGTCTTCCATATCCACACTGATGTTGGTGTGTCGAAGTGCTCGCTGATGCGCTGACGGTTTTGATTGGCTCGCTTGCGGAAGGTGTGGATGGGCCGAACCGGAAAGGAAAGAACTCTTGCTCTAGAGGTCTCAAGAGGTCTCAAGAAGCGATGCACTTGTTCCTAGTAGCTTGATAAGACCTGGACGACTTGGGGCCGAGACTGCAAGATCCCGACGCGCTTCAGCCAGGACATGCCTCCAGCCCGACTGCACGATGGGTCCCTCGAGTCACTAAGGCTGGCGGATATTGTGAAATGACGCAATATTTACAGTAGATTCATGGTGTCAAAGCAAGTTTTTAAAGGTGAGGTGGAGAATCGTGTTTATGTTTATTCATTATCCACGAACATGTGCCTGCATGCTCGCTCTTTTGGATCAAGCTCCTCGGGACTTGAACAATGCTGTGATGGCCCAGGGCATGCATGCTGAGTCGGATGGCTGCTTGGCTGCATCTTGACATGAGGAATGTTAGCGCTCATTGTCATGATTGCTGATGCCAGGCTTCAGTGACCTACAGCAGGCCGCATCCTTTCTGCCTCCAAGGAAGCCTCGCTGGCTACTGCACAGCATCTCGACATTTCTGATATATCCAGTCTGGACTTGTACTGGAGGATTGACAAACATATGGCAATATATAGCTTGTTGGAGCCAAGGTAGCCAAGAGAGGCGATCTTCGATTTCTGACTGTCCCCTAGAACCCATCCAGTGGCAGCGAATGCGAGTGAGGGAAGACCGACGCCAAGATGCAAGATCATGCGTGGTCGCAGTCTTGCTCGATCAAGTATCGCGACGGTGAGATTTTGGACCAAGGACGTATGGAGGTCACCATCAAACGGCTTCTAGCAAAGGGGCTGCTTGGACCTAAAGGTGCTTGAGTCACCAGACTGGCTGTTTGGGGCAACAGCGGGCAAAGAATGGTGTGCAAAATGTGGACCACATTCAATCTTGGGCCGTTTCTGTTGTTTGCAAGTGGTTCCTCATCTTGCGAAATGTCCAAGTATGACACAGAGGGTCAGAGTCGTGGTGGGGGTCTGCTTCCCATTTTGCTGTCATGTTGGGCAGTCAGGATCCTGGAATTGTAGGTCCGATGGATCAAATATGGATCAATATGGATCCTGAAGTCGTGAGTTACAGCTGGGCCATCGATATAGAGAGGTCGGTAGCAAAGGGGTATCATACGGTATACACTTGTGTTATGAGCTGCGGTGACAGGGCCCCTTGTTGTCAACCACTGAGGACCACTGATGCTCTGTGGGTTGATTCTTTGCGTTCTTCGATGAAGCGCAGGCACGGGTCCCGTGCCGTCCTAGGAGAACCGGAAGCAGGATTGAAACCTTGAAAATCCTTGAAACCTTGTCATGACACCGTTGAAGCGCTTCTTACATCAATGCTTGACCTCCAACATCATTTGTGATCATTTGAATTCACAAGGCATTTAGCTCTGACAGATGGATCCCCTAAGAAAACACAGTTTCGGCATTTTTGGTCTTTAACTTCCCCAGGCCGAGGAAAGTGCCAAAGTTGCATGGCCGATGGCTTGGGCATAAGACGCAGGACATGTCTCCGGGCCAGACGGTTTGTCTGAGACATTTGATGTCATTTGCGGGAGGACTTCGAGGCCGTGTGCCCAGCAAGGCTAGCAGTGAAGGAAGCTGAAGAAGTCCGGGAGGTCCAGAATTCTGAAGAAATCCGAGCAGGAGCGAACAGAATCGAAAGAATGTACTCAAATGCTGGCAAATCACACTGAGCCCCAGATCGAAGCTCCTCCAGGACTAGAGGTGCTTTCCCAACATCCTGATCATGCAGCGAGGGAAGCACGAGAACCTGCGGGAATGCATGATGTGCAAGCTGAACTTCATTTGGACATGGAAGAGGGTGGCCTTGGGATGCCAGGACTTGTGCTGTGGGCGGGCACAATTTCAATATGAGCATCCATTTCCGATTGGTCTAGTACACCTACGCAGCTACACAACGTTTTCATTGACCGAAGACTGTGTTGGATTGTCGCCATGAACTAGACATGTGTGCGCTCTTGGCTCTGTTGGGACCCCTGTCCAATTTGGACGTCCTCATTTCAGGTCAGGAGGCAAGTGCAACTAACAAAAAGAGAATGTGCCCGCTTGATGGCAACAGTGGCCAGTGGTTTACGTGGTGGCCAGTGGACGGGAACAAATCACATTCTTACCGTACCTTTCAATTTCTTGATGTTTGGACATGTTCTTCTCCTTTTACCTTTTGCCTTGTGTTAGTTCTGTGGAGATTTTCTCAAAGCATCACGACTAGTGTTTGCTTTGCCTGCTTTTCGGCCATCTCCCAAATGAAAACACCTGTTATAGAATAGACCGAATCTCCAGGATTGTCAAACTCAAGCTTTGCCTCATGCCACTCAGTGCATGCGGATGATCTCACCTCACAACATCTCTTTGGCCACCATACCACACAACAGCACACGCGAGTAAATGAAGGCTTTAAATTTTGAACTGGTTGATCGCGAAAAAAGGGTTTTGTGTGCACAGAGCGTCGTGTACATGCAATGCGGCAACTGAACAACTGTTCCTTCTGTTCAGCGGTATCGAGACACTGGCTGCGTGCAGTTGTGCTGTTAGTTTGTGAGACGGCCTCAAAGTGTCAAAGATCAGAATCAACCCCTGTAATCTTGGGCAGGATGGACTCAACCCAGCTCGCAGAAGCTCGGAGATTGGTTGAACAGTCTCTTTGATGACTGTGGCACAGCTGGGAGAAGCATCGCTGAAGGTGAGAAGGCTGAAGCCGAGCAGGTAGCGACCAGCGACAGCAGAGCCGGGAGCGAGAGAGCTGGCGAAAGGAGCGAAAGCCATAGCGCTGGGAATGGAAGAGCTGACGCTGCAAGCAACGCCGAGAGCGAGACTGAGAGGGATGATGAAAGGGCAGAGAAATCTGAAGAATGGAGAAAACCTGATCCGAATGTTCCAGAACCAGGCCGGATGTGGGATTCTGGCAAGCTGAGCACTTGTAATTACTGATATTTACTGATATAAATTACTGATATATATATATATATATACTGATATTATCTTACACATGGAGTTGTACATACATTTGTTTTTGGGACAAGCTTATTGGGGATCGCTCGATTCTTTGACTACATTGGGAGCCTTTTGGGTTTGATTGATGCTTTGCGGCCGCAACTTGCCACATCTTGATGTTCACTTCTTCTTGATTTCCCCAGGTAGCAGAGCCTTGATTGCATGTTTTTACCTGGAAACCTGAAAACTGTGGAGCCAGGTGTTGAACCTCCCCCCCCCAGAAACCGAGCAACCACATGACTACGCCATAGTGGACCTCACGAGTTCTGGTGTACGTTTTGTGGAGGTTTTTTCATGTCTTGTCCTTTTTTGTTTTGTTAGGACCTGCCCCCGCTGCGGATGAACTCTTGCACTCTCTTCAGACCGTGGTGCCCGTTAGTACCACTGGAAGCCGTGGCAGCCGTTCATCAAACGTGGCTTCTGTGGCTCGGCTGATGCGGTGATTTTCCGCGCGCGTGCGTGCGCGTCGCTATGCACACTGTGCGCGCTCTGCACGCGCAGGAAGTACCCACAGATCTGACATTGCGGTCCGTTGATGCCCAGCAGATAGCAGAGGCTGTGACCACTGATGTGCAACTTGCCTCGGATACTGTAAAGGTTTTGTGAGGGCCCCTCATCACAATGTTCCAGTCCGCTTTTGTATGTATATAGAATCGTAGATGTTCTTATTCTTTTAGCCCCTTTTACTTTGAAGTCAGCATGGATGATTCTCACTCCACGGGCCTTGTATCTGCAGAAGCTTTGAGAGCCGAGTCAGAAGGTTCCAAGGTTCCAAGATTCCATGTGAGCAAAGACCCAACCTAAGGGCGCTGCAGTCTATGAGCTGCTGTGGATCGACCAAGGCAGCACCTGTCAAGATTGCATGTTGCCACGTTGCGGCGATGATTGGAACATGTTATATATGTAGAAATGAGCCAGCAAGTAACAAGGGCATCGCTACTAGGAACAGGCGCATCGCTCTAGCAGCAAGAAGCTACAAGTAGCTCCTGACATTGCTACTAGTAACAAGAAGCGACTAGGGGCTCCTGGCATCGCTACTAACAGCAAGGATGCTACTAGGGGCTCCTGGCCTTACTACTAGGAACAAGAAGCGACTAGTAACAAAAGTCAGCTTTCAGATCTTTCAGGTTGGGGAGGTGGAGTTTGACCAGATGTTTTTGACCAGATGCTGAGAACAGCCCAACGGGCGTGTGTGGGGGTTTTCAACTCGCCCAGAGTTGTGGAGGATTTGGACCAAACCGACGACGGAATTCTGGAGGACTCACCCTCCATCAGTGCCTCGCAGAACGAACGACGAAACGCCATGGGGTGGTCTCAAAATATGGGGGTCCTGCAGAGCTTTACATGTTTCTTGTACAGCCATTTCATGTACTGCATACCGCAGCCCCGTTGTTGGTTGAAATAGCGCGCTGCCCGCTTGCATGGTAGCGGAGCAGGGTGAGCTCCTGCTCCGGGTCCCCTGTAAGACAGGGTAAGACCCGCGCGTGGGCGCCTGCGAGGTGGACACCCTGTAAATCGCCTAGCGGTGTGGGCACGGGATCAATCCCCCCCGACGGGGGGTGCCAAGCAGCGCCCATGGCTTCGAATGCTGCACCTTTGACCCCGCCAGGAGCTTTCAGCCTCGGTGACTCCCTGGCGGCGGCAGCTGAAGCAGGTCTTCTACCTCAACAAGCCCAGCAGCAGCAGCAATAGCAAGTACAACCAGCTCTTCCAGCTCAGCAGGTCGGAGCCAGTGGCCTCATTGACACCCGGGCCATTGGCAAGTTGAAAAGTTTCTCGGGCAAAGAAGAGGAATGGGCAGCTTGGGTGTTTGTGGCAAGAGGGTACCTGAATCTGCTGGACACAAGCTACCAGGCCCTCATCCAGGCTGCAGAGAATGCCAACCGGTACAGCGACCTGATTTTGAGCGATATGGGGCAGCATGCCCAAGAGAAAGCCATTGTCCTGTTCAACCTCCTCACCCAGAGCGTTGATGGCAGGGCCCTACAGGTGCTGATGAATGTGAAGAGCGGCAATGGCTTCCAGGCTTGGAAAGCGCTTTGTGAGGCCTATGAGCCTGATGTTGGGGGAAGGCGTACAGCCATGTTGATGAGCATCATCGCCCCGGCTTGAGAGTCAGTCAAAGAGAACGACTTCCTGGAGCCCCTCGAGAGTTGGGAAGTGCTGACAAGGCGCCACAAGATCCAGGCCAAGGAGCACGTCTCGGACTCCACCAAGATTGCGGTCCTCATGAAGCACGCACCCATGTCATTGAGGTCAGCCCTGAGGACTGCTGGAGCTCAGGTTGGGACGAACTATGAGCGAGCCATGAAGTTTGTACGAGATTCCCTTCAAGCAGGGCAATACTACAACGCCAAGGGCGAGATGGGCAAGGATGATGGTGGTGTGGCACCCATGGATGTTGGTGCGGTGTCCTATGACAAGGGCAAGAAGGTGGTAAGTCCAAGAATGAGAAAGGAGTCAACAAAGGTGGCAAGTTTGACAAGAAGGGAAAGCCACCGCCTCCAAAGAAGTTCAATGGTGAGTGCTCCTACTGTGGCAAAATGGGGGCACAAGAAGGCAGATTACCGTCTGCTGGCCAAGGAGAAGGCCAAACGTGAAGGAAAGGGAAAAGGCAACAGCACAAATGCTATCACAGCGGCATCATCTTCGATCCCCAGCAGGTGGACAGAGCACAAATGCAGTGTACTACTGGTTGCCCGGTGATGGTGAGCGGGTGGATTGGGCAGATGCTGTAGGTGTTTTTGAGATTGAGGAAGAGTACTCAGATGAGATGTGGGTGATGATGATCCACAGGAGCAAGCAGCCATCCGACTGGCATTTGCTGACATCCCAACCACCTGACAGGGAAGTCAAGTACCTACTATGGGATTCTGGCAGTGATGAGCATATGTGCCGACCCAGCTTTGGTGGCGACTACCACACCGAGGAGAGTGAGGCCGACGCCTCGGCAAGAAGAAGGTGAACTACAGGATTATTGGGGAGGACACCAACTTCCTGAATGCGGTCACGGAGTTCAAGGTCAGTGATCAAGCGAGCAAAGACGTCTTGAGTGCTGGGAAGATGAGTCCAATGAAGCCATTCCTGACGCATCCCAAGCTGGACTTCAAGATTCCTCTGATGACGAGACAATCCCCATGGACATCGACCTGGGCACTGGCGTGATGGTGGCACCAGTGGCTGGACAGGGAGAAGAGTATGAGCGGGAGTATGCAGGCATTGAAGACGAGGGAGCCGTCCCAGCAGAGTTTGCAGAGGACGAAGCACATGCTCGAGCTGATCGACCACGACTACATGGATGGAGCAACCCCAGAAGCCGGACACCGAAGAAGTGGAGAGGCGCTCGATCACACATCTGCCACCAGCACCTTGGTGTGAGTTTTGCACCAGAGGCCATGCAATGGACGATCCTCATCGTCGCAGGACAGTGGAACAGAAGTTGGCTGAGAACCACTTCGAGCTGGACTACAGCTTCCTCAAGACTGACACGTCCATTGCAGAGCGGTTCGAGGAGAGCTCAGACACCATCCTCTCCATCGTGGATAGTGGCGCTGGGATGGCCTTGGCCATGTCCATCCCTGGAAAGAATTTGGAGACGCCCTATGTGGTCAAGACAGTGGCTTCCTTCATAGCACAGCTGGGCTACCTGCAGGTGAAGCTCAGGAGTGACAATGAGCCTGTGATCAAGAAGATCGTTGCCAAGATTGCGGGTGCTTTGAGAGAAGGGAAAGCCCCAGGAGCTGAAGGACTCAAGATCCAATTTGAGGAAGTGCCAAGGTACTCATCTCGAACAATGGGAGCATTTCAGAAGTTGCTTCGTGTTGATGTCCTCACCCTCAGGTACCAGACGGAAGCAAGCTATGGCATCACGCTCCACACCTCACACAATCTATGGCCATGGTTGGTGAGGTGGTGCTCTTTCAACAGGAGCAGATTCAGCGTCAAGGGCAATCAGAGAACAGCTTACCAAGATGCCTTCGACACGGCATACACTTCACAGCTGCTGCCCTTTGGCGAGACAGTGCTCTTCAAGATCCCCGTGAGTAAGGCCAGGAGATCTCACAACAGGGAGTGATGCCCAAAGGGGAGACAGCATGGCGTCAGGGCATCTTCCTTCAAAAAAATGTGACCAGTAACGAATATTTACTGGGAACAGAGGATGGGACAGTGACGGCCAGGAGTGTGCGCAGATTGGCTGATAGCAGCAGGCGCTACAACCCGGAGCTGATGGAGAATCATCGTGCTATGGGACATGGGCACAACCATTGGCAGGCCGAAGAGGAAGGCTGACATCGCTTTGCCTCCAACACCGAACCTGATCCCGACTGAAGAGAACAAGAGCCCCAGCCTAGAGGAGCCGAGTGGGGTGGTCATCCAGGAGTCCTGTGCAATCAGGTCCTTCGTCGGCATCAAGACCTACGGCTGATGTGGGCGGCGGTGAGACAGCGCCAATGGATTTGAGCATGTCAGCAAGATGGGCATGGGCTGGAGAATCTGGTGAGATGACCCCAGAAGCCAAGAGAGCTCGCGTGGCTGGAACCGATGTGGGTGCTCTGTATTCACCGACAGAAGACACCATCGTGTGCGAGGATGACGTGGACCAAGCCTATGAGGACTCAGAGCAAGCCATTGACCAAAGAAGAAATGGATGAAGGAGATGCTGAGGAATTCCGCAAGATGGACAAGTACGAGACCTACGGCCCTGTGGAGCAGAAGGACGGCGTGAAGATCCTAGATGCCGTGTCAGGACCCGCAAGCCTGACGGCTCGGTGAGGTGCAGGTACTGTCCGTCAAGGGTCATCGACATTGTGGGCATCAAGATGGGCTACTGCTTCTTGACAGCAGATGCCGAGAATGCATTCTGGCAGGTGCCAATTGCTGAAGAGGCCTACATGAAGCCTCCCAAGGAGTGGTTGAAGAAGATGGCAGACAGCGGAGTCGATCTACCTGATCGTGTGGTCTGGAAGCTCAACACAGAGTGGTATGGCAGACGCATAGCTGGCCAGGCTTTTGTGGAGTGGGCAGCTGGGCATCTCAAGGAGGTGGACTTCAAGAGGAACCCAGCAGCACCTTGGATGTTCTACAACCCGGCCAATGGCGTGTTGATGGAAGTGCACATGGACGACTTCTATGCCACTGGACCCAAAGCGGCTTTGCAAGAGCTGGAGAAGAAGCTGCGTGAGAAGATCAAGATGAAGAGCCAGATCCATGCGAATTGCGTGGGAGAAAAGTGGACACACCTCAAGAGGACCCGGGAGATCATGGATGGCGGCATTTTCCTCACACCCCGTGGCAAGTACATCAGCGATCTGCTGAAGATGTTGGGTTTGGAAGAGTGTAACCCGGCTCCAACACCCTACCTGTGCTCAGAGGTCAAGGAGGGCAACAAGTTGAGTGGGGAAAGCTTAAAAATCTACAGGGCAGGAGTTGGCATTGCCCTGTACCTTTCCTATGACAGGACGGACATGCAGTTTGCAGGAAGAGCTGTGCCTGTGCTATGTTTGAAGTTGGCGGCTGTTTGCTATTCAGCTACGCCAGGAGCCTCCAGATGCTTTGCCTGTCGTCTGGCGAGGCTGAGTTCAATGGTGGTGTGGCCGCTTGCAGCGAGGGACTGTTCATGAAGGAGGTGTTCGCCTTCATCGGCTTCCCGCTCCAGATGGAGGTCTACCTTGACAGCAGCGCAGTTCGTGGCGTGTTTCAGCGCCAGGGAGTTGGGAGGATTCGACACTTGGAGGTGAAGTCATTGTGGGTGCAGGATGCACTACGTCGAAAGCTATTCAGCTTGCATGCAGTGCCAAGCCAAGACAACACTGCGGACTTCGGGACGAAGGCTTTGGCAGTGAAAAGGTTCAATATGCTCAGGCGGAAGCTGGGCATTGGATTGAAGGAGGAGACGACCTACGAGCAGGAGACCAAGAAGAACACTGAGAGCATCAACTCCATTGCGCTCAGCGGATTCAGCAAGCAGGCTTTGATGGTGGCCTTGCTGACCCTTCTGCAGAGCGCAGAGGGGATGAAGACGGAGGAGCCCAATGCAGATGATGGAGCAAAGTGGGGATTCGAGTGGATCTTCACTGATCTTGCTGTGGCCTTCGGCATTTTGCTGATCATGCAGGGCACGGCATTGTGGTGGTGCTTCAAGATGGCCACGAAGCACCTGGCAATGAGTGGGGGCTTGAGCTTCAAGCCGGCTCGGGCTGAAAGCAGGGAGATCGGCATCCAGTGCGAGAGGAACACTGGCCGGTTCTGTGAGATCTACCTCTTGGAGGGTAGAGATGTTTTCCATACGGACTCGACATGTCCGCGCTTGCACCAGCGGACGAGGCCGTATTTGCAGCTGAGGAGTTGCAAGTGTTGCCCCGGGATAGGATTCCCGAGCATCCCATGGGCTGAATGAAAAGCCTGTGAGGTTGGCATTGCAAAAGCCAGCCTCAAGTGGGGCGCAGAGCTTTACATGTTTCTTGTACAGCCATTTCATGTACTGCATACCGCAGCCCCGTTGTTGGTTGAAATAGCGCGCTGCCCGCTTGCAGGTCCCCTGAACCCTCCAAGTAAGAAAGGGTAATATGGGGATCCTTTCATATGGTGAGAGTGTGTGAAACTCCTCATCGTGCAAGTCATGACGTGACGAAACTCCTGGAATTTGCCATCCGAGGTAGTTTGACCGCCGCCGGCCATGCAAAGGAGCTGCTGGCAGAGTTGTCATCACGCCTCGAGGCTGAGGCAGCTCATGGAAGCTGACCGGTTAATGCGTGGGCATTAGTCAGTGCAATTGTTACCGACGTCTCAGTATTTAGTTTGGCCACGCGCATTCACTGCAAGCACGGTCAGCGAAGCAAACTCAGGGTTGATGAATATGATTGAAGATCGATCCTCAGAATTATGTAAGACCATAAATGCACAGGTCTTGAATCTCAGTTGTGGGCATGAAACTCTGTACACATATATACTCGGATCATTCCGGATCCACTCATACTGTACCATTCTCATGAGAGTTCATCAGTATTCACTCAACTGGTGTAACACCGGCGGCTGTGACAGAGAAGGCGCATCCCCCAGTAAGACGCTACAGCGGCAAAAGTGGCAACACAAAGAGACGGAGGAGAAGCAAGATGCAAAAAGATCCGGCAAAGACCTCAAGGAGGCTCCAAGAAACTCACGGAATTCTCCCGTCTGAAGGGGACCTGAAGACATAGTGTTGTGCGCCTCACACCTGCGTCCAATGTTATTTTTCCTCCTACTCACGAAGATTGTCGGAGATGACTCATGACGCTCAACGGCATTCTCTCAAACAAGCAGAAACCAGCAGACACCTACTCTTGCGAACTTGAACGTGGTGAACATTTTTTTTGGAGGTCTGAGGTCTTGGAATACAGCATGGCCATGCATGGCCTACCTGCAAGAGCTGCCGGGAAGAAGCATCACCTTTTTTCTACCCCTTACTTTGCTCGTACGTTTGTGCAGCATGGACATGCACGCTGCCGGGCCGCTCCGCGTGCTATGTCAGTCACTTCTCAGCTTGGCAGGCTGCAGATGCGAAGGATGCGAAGCTGCAGGTGCACCTGAACCTCTGGAGCAGTCAGATTGACGCTGGGCACATGTGAGGCCCGAGGCCGAAGAAGGCCGAAGGCAAAAAGCATGTTTGTGCACCGCGCAGAAGGCCGGTGTGTGCAAATCCCGCCACAATTCACACAATGTGAGTTCACGCAGAGTTGGGGTTCTATGTAGCTGGCATGCACACAAAGCTACAAGTTCAGAATGCTTCGTTTCACTGCAGCTCCCACATGTGTCGGAGCTCACACAGCCCCTCCGTATGGTTTGCATCATGGGAGGAGAGCATAGTGGCTTTAGGGCCAAAGGTGCTGGACCATCAGTCACTCTGCAGGAGTACAAATGTGCGGAAATGCATGGCCTATGTGTTTGTCGTTCGTGGTCTATGTCATGCACCGGGTGAAATCTGCATGGCCTGCCATTGCAGGCGACCGAGGACGTCAGTATCGAAGAGGAAGGCCTCTAGGCCAAGGTGACCAGTCAGACCCACAAGGTTCCTGATATATATATATATATATATACTGTATATATATATATACATACAGAAGAGATGTTCTTTGGATAGGTTATTTTTTCCTTGTGAATGTACAGGTAACTATTTGCAATGACAGCTGCACAATTCCGTGATTCTGACTCCTCCACAGTCGTGGCACAGTGGCAAAGAAAGATAAGAAAGAGCCGTTCCCAAACAAATGCAAACCAAGAAATGTATGGCGCCTCGGCAAGTAAGCTCCCAATGGCAGGAAGTTTAGCTGACATTGGCTCCTGATTGCTGCACACTTGGTTGGAATCCATTGGCTCCAGGCTTCTTATAAAAGCTCGGCATGTTTAGCCGATTGGCCACATGTGAATGGCTTCGAGCACACAACAGGGTCAAGCTTCAAGGCTTACACAAACAAACCAGTTAAAACCATGGAGCATGGGAGCACACATACAGCATACATGTAATATCACAATACCTTCAACGGTTGCTTTTGAAGCAAGAGCAGGGTTAACACAGTTCAGCTGGAGAGAGTCCACAGTCTGCAGAAATGTCCAAAGGCCAGGTGCAGTTCCACAAAGAACCGCATTCCACGGAATAGATCATATCAAAGAGCTTCATTGCTTTGGAATCGATCTGCCTTATCTCACACTTTTGAGGTGGATGGGGCGTCGTGCGCCCAGATACGCATGCAGCAAAGAGATTCCATTCACATTTTGGTTGGTGAAACTCTATGGCCGTAGGGAAGACGTGAATTTGGAGTTAACTCCAGGTGAAGTGTTAACTCCAACCCAAGATCGGCCGTTTGCACGGCAGGGCTACGATGACTACAGCTGGATGTCCAAGGGCAAAGGCTCTGGCAAGGACTTTGGAAAGGCACCACGGCACTGAAATCCATGCTTGAGACATTTGGAGACCCAAAGTGCGGGCAGTCTGACTGACAGGCGGCAATGATGATGTCGATGATGTCCATGATGATGAA